TCATAACATCTGAGTAAACGTGCTCAGGCGTTCAAGATCAGCCAAGCGGAGTGTGACTGGGTCTCTTCCTGCAGAGACTGATCTCTTTGCTGGGCGTCTCCTCTTGAAGTCACTGTACCTGTGGTTCTGTTTGGTGCTGAGAGTGAGGAAGCTGGGAGTCGGGCTGCAGCGGCTGCGATGAGAGGGGCCATCTGATGCGTCAGGAACACCATGTGAGTTGGAAGGGATGGGGGATGTACACATGGGCATCCGCCGTGTGCACATGTTTAAAGATGGCTTGGCAGCGAGTGGCTCCTCTGACATGTAACATGTTCACAACTAAAGCATCGAAGGACCCTCATGGAAGAGGCTAGAATGTTCTGTAACTTTAAGGATTGTGACCAGACGGTGCAGTAATATCTGTTCTACTAAATGAACAGTCTTACGGTGCTTACCAAAGGGGAAAAAATGTCCATGGTTTAAAAATGGCTCTTCATCCTCCTATTTGATCCATTTGGTTAAAAAAATCAGAGGGGGAAGAAAATCAGCATTTGTTATTTTCCTTGAATTTCAAGAAGCTGTGATTGAGCGCAAGTCCAGGACTGAATCCCCATTCAAGGCGTAAAGAGCAAGGATTTGTCTGCAGGTTCCAAGTACTTCTGAACAAGTGATGTATCGTAATTAAGCCCCGAGATGGGGGACCCAGGGTGAAAATGATTTTTGCCGATTAATTCTGATTAGCCTGTGAAGACAGTGAGGGCGGGAATCATTAACTATCCTGCTCGGCCAGCATGGAGCGGCTGCCCACCCAGGTCACAGCACACAGGGTCACCTTGAATGCACGCCCAGCCTCTCTCTGGAGCCTTCTTCTCTGGGGCCATCAGAGCTTGAAGACGCGCGGAGGTCTGCACTGGCTTGGCAAAGTGGTTCGGACATCACTGTGTCCTCAGGGGGACATGACCTTAGGACAGACGGATGGACAGTAACATGAGTCCCAGGAAAGCTCCGTCCTTCCTTATCTCCTCCTGCAGGCTTTTATGGCAGGCTTAACCACAGGGGCTCATATTCATTGAAAACTTACATTGTATGGAGTAAAAGAGAAGCACTCTACATACGGTGTCACAATCGACCCCTGACACTGGTATTGTTAAAACCCACGTGGTGGGTGTCTTGTGTGGGCACTCAGAGCCAGATTGCCTGGATTCCAGTCTCAGCCCCACCATCTACGAGCTGTGTGGCTCCGGGCACTTTCCCTAACCTCTCTGAGTCATCTAGAAAACGGGGATATTGGAAGCTCTGTGTCTCATAGGTCTATTCTAGTGATGGAATGGTAAGATGTATCAAGTGCTAAGCTACTTTGCTGTCTTTTTGATATGAACTGGTAACCTGACTCTGGCTAAGCTAAAGAATATGAATTCAGAGGAGAAGGCACTCGGGCCATTCTGTCACTGTTGGCCCAGCTTTTCAAGGAGAGTTTGTAGGGGACCTGAGTGGATGTAAGTTTGTTGCTGTGGGTTCCAGCTGAGGATCAGGCTGTTGGAAGTGCCCGCAGCATCTATTGACACATCACACCCAGGCCATCCTCGAGGTGGAGGCTGCGTTGGGTGGAAATCGGTTTGGGTTATGTGCAGAAAGAGCTGGCGTTTGCTAGAAGCTGACTTGTTTTCAGGGCTGAGGAAGAAGATGGACAAGGTGTCATTTGCACAGACTTTGGCTCCGCTCAGCTTGGACCCTTTGGTCTCAGGTGTGCAGGTGATTTATATGCCTGTAATGCGATCAGCGTTTGTTAGAGTAAAGAACATCCATTTCAATTTCTGCTGAGGAATGCCCTTCTGTTGGACTAACAGATGCTGCCCAGAGCTCGGGCCCATATATCTCCCAGGAGACCAGGACCCTGAACATTAATGCGTCTGAACATCGATAAGATGAGTGGGAAGGCGTAAAAAGTGGGCAGTGAGCAATGTGTGAAATGCAGCTGCTTTATTGAGGTAATTTTCCCTTTAGTTGAGTTATCATCAGCAGCTTTTCAAGTTGAGCAAAAAGACAAAAATAAAATCCAGTGAGCTTTGGGAGAAATATACTAATTTATTAATTCTCCTATTAATGCTATTTGTAACAACATAGCAGGGCCTAGGGATGATCATGCTGAGTGAAATAAGCAGACACAGGAGGACAAATACTGCATGATGTCGCTTACACGTGGGATTGAAAAAGAAACGGTACAAATGAACTTGTTTATAAAACAGAAATAGAGTTACAGATGTAGAAACAATCTCATGCTTACCCGGAGGCGAAGGGACAGGGGGTAAATTGGACGACTGGGGCTGACAGATACACACTGTTCTGTACGCGATAGCTAGCTAAGAAGGGCCTGCTATATAGATAGCACAGGGAACTCCGCTCTACGCTCTGTAATGACCTGTATGGGAAAGGAATCTAAAAGTGAACTCGTGTGTATATATGCAACTAATCAACTTTGCTGCTGCTGCTAAGTCACATCGGTCGTGTCCGACTCTGTGCGACCCCGTAGACGGCAGCCCACCAGGCTCCGCCGTCCCTGGGATTCTCCAGGCAAGAACACTGGAGTGGGTTGCCGTTGCCTTCTCCAATGCGTGAAAGTGAAAAGTGAAAGTGAAGTCGCTGAGTCACGTTTGACTCAGCGACCACATGGACTGAAGCCTACCAGGCTCCTCTGTCCATGGGATTTTCCAGGCACTTTACTGTACAACAAAAAAGTGAACACAACATTATAAATCAACAGTACTCTAATAAAAATGTAGAAAAAAAAAACAGAAAAAAAATCATTCTGATTATAAAGGAATGAATCTTCACTGAAGAACATTTCGTTCTTCACTGAAGAACTATAAACAGAATAAATTAAACAAATCCTAATTTTCTTACCAAGAAATCAACACTGTTGACTTTTTGGAGGAGTTTTTCCTCATGTTAATGGATGTATGTACATGTAAGTGTGTGTAAAGTGAAAGTTGCTCAGTTGTGTCCGACTCTTTGTGACCCCAGGGACTATACAGTCCATGGAATTCTCCAGGCCAGAATACTGGAGTGGGTAGCCTTTTCCTCCTCCAGGGGATATTTCCAACCCAGGGATCAAACCCAGGTCTCCTGCATTGCAGGTGGGTTCTGTCCCAGTTGAGCCACAAGTGTTTGTAAAACAGAGATTATGCAATGTGAAGTAAAGTGTGTCTTTTTAAAAAATTTTTATCTTTAGCATATATTGTAAACATTTCCCCATATCATTCAGTACTCTTTAAAATGTGATTTTGGATTCTGCCTTATAGTCCATTGTCTATTTGAATGTGATTTACAAAATGATTGATCTAATATCAAATAATATTTCTTTAAGTGTCTCACTATTATAACTAAAGTGGCAGTGAGCATCCTATTCTATACATCTTTGTGTATCTGACTGGCCCCTTGGGATAGATTCCTTGAAGTATATTTAGCGCATCTAAGTATAAATCTTTCAGAGACGTCCGTGCTTTTGCCAAGGGTACCCTCCAGTGACGTGCCAAGTTCTCCCCCCACCCTCGCAGTGGGAGGGCGGCCCCACACCCCGGCCAGCACTGAGAAGACGCTTGTTTAGGCTCAGAGTTCTACTCTCTGTGCTTCGTCTTGTCTAAACTTCCAACATTTCTCTTTAATTTCTAATGTTAGGCTCAAAAGGCAATCTTCCTCATTATATAAATTCAATCTCACTGAAATATATGAAGCGAGAAGGAAGACACCCTTTCTCCTTGTCGATTTCCAGTGACAGCTTTAGGGAGTCATCTTTTCTAATTCTTGCTCACCTTTATAACATTGTACATATGCACAGGCAAATGTAAATATTCCTGATACAACTAGAATCACAAGGATACACTATCATGTATCTTGCCTTTTTTTTTTTCATTTAAAATAAAGACATCTTTTCAAGGCAGTGTGTTGAGACAGTGTTTCTTTATGTAGACGTAAAATGATTGTCTTCATTACTCCCTCATCAAAAAGGAGACAATGGGCACCATTTAATTCCTTTTTAAATTTTTGGACCAGACCACAGGGTTGTGGTGTCTTTATTCCCTGACCAGGGGTTGAACCTGGGACCTGGCAGTGTGGAACACCAGGGAATTCCCTAGTCGTTCATTTTTGATTCTGCAGGATAAATTTCAAATGGAGTCATTTGATCTAACTGCTTTTGATAGCTCTCTCCAGACTGACTCCAAAAAACATTGTGTACTAATTTAGGGTTCTTCCAAAAGTACACGAGCAAGCTCATTTCCCTGTATCTGTATCAACACTGGGTGTTATTTATATTTTTTGCTTTTTCTACTCTGTTGGGTAAAAAACGTTATCTCATTCTTCTTCTAATTTGCATTTCTGGGGTTTATTACAGCTAATTGTTCTATGTCCTTGTTGTATCAGAAATGGCTATGAATTGTGGCATATATTTCTGGCTTCTCCACTGTATTTGGGTGGAGAAAATTATGTCAGAATATTCCAGTATTTCTGGTCTTAAGACAAAAAAGTTTACACCTGCTTCCAGTTACTGTTTTATTTTTCTGTTTCTCTTTCAAAACAACTTCTCTGTGTGTTTATATGTGTATTTCTTCTTGGTATCTCATCACTATAAATACGATAATCTGAAACATAAGTTGGACAAAATAGAATGTTTCCCCTAAATTTACCCTCACACCAGTATCCCCGTCTCATAAATGAGACTCATCAGTTCCTTATCATCAAAGTCTTGGTGTTTTCTTTCGTTCTTTTCCCTTTGGCGCTCACACCCAATGTCATCAGCAAATGCTACCAATTTGAACTCAGTGAACCCCTTAATCATTTACTTCTCGTCTCTCTGATCCCAACGGTGCTTCACCTGAACGGGCCCTAAACAACTCCCCCCCCACCCCCATCTCCAGAGTCCCTGCTGCCATCCTAGTCATGACCAGGTAGCACCACGGATCGTCGTTCCAAGTGTGAGTGAGACCAGCCCCTGCTGGGAACGCCCCGCAGACCTCCCAGCTCACCTAGACAGAACGCCAGCTCTGAACCCCGCAGACGCAGCTGATGAGCATCCCTGTCCTCCCGGGAGCCCCTCTCCCGTTCCATCTCTGTTCCAGCCATGCTGCCCTTCTGCAAACAGACAAGGTCATGCCCAACTTGGGGCCTGGCTCCAGCTCTTTCTTCTACCAAGAGTCCTTCCTTCCCTTGGCCAGCTTTGTAATATGCAGATCTCATCTGAATGTCACGCTCTCCCCGGTTGCCCTGTTTTGACTGTGACATTTTTAATCGATGGATGTTGACTTGTCTCTAAGCTCCAGGAGTGTCTGTTCCATTCATGCCTCTGTTTCCGATGCCTGGAGCAGTGCCTGGCATGTAACATGTCCGTTATAAGTGTTGACTTAACTAATGACTTGGATACATTCCCATTATACCTGCATTTTCCTGTGACCATGCCTTATTCATGAGGTTTCCCAAGGCTGAAGATGGCTAATCTGTTCTGTTTGTGAGATAATTCCTAAACTTCTACCCTTCAAGGCCTTTCTCAGTCCTTAACCTTGTGAGGTCTCCCCGTTCTCTGAACCCTTGCAGCATCTTAGGCTTCTCAGTGACATTTACCCTTTGCTCCCTATTTCATGGTCATTCATGTCTGTGTCCAATTACTCCAAGAGAATTTAAGCATCTTAGTGGCACGAATGATGCGTTTCTTAACCTGGTCCTCTCGCAGCCCCCAGCAGAGCCTCATATACAGAGGGGGTTTCTCTAGGACTACCTGCTTAATTGAGCCCATTCTTGCTATCAAAGGATGGCATATTATTTTCAGTTCAGTTCAGTCGCTCAGTCATGTCCAACTCTTTGCGACACCATGGACTGCAGCATGCCAGGCCTCCCTGTCCATCACCAACTCCTAGAGTTTACTCAAACTCATGTTCATTGAGTTGGTGATGCCATCCAACCATCTCATCCTGTTATTTCCTTCTCTTCCTGCTGTCAATCTTTCCCAGCATCAGGGTCTTTTCAGATGATTCAGTTCTTCGCATCAGGTGGCCAAAGTATTGAAGTATTTTAGGGCTTATGAAAATATAGTACTTCATGAAACAGGCTGTGATCTAGTTCTTGATTTTAAGAAAAATATTCTGACCTCGGCACTAGTTAGAGCTTTATGGACTCTGAACTGAAGCGAGGTTGGGAGATAGCGGGTGAGGTTGTCAGAGTCCACTGCCGCTTAGCTGTGAGAGCCCTGGGTGGCGATTCTCTGTAAAATCATGGCCACTCTTTCTTCCCAACTCAAAACTCCTTAGGCTATCTATGGAGACAGTCCTCCCACCTCTCTTTTTCTTAATTTGGCAACCCCGAGTTGGCCCTGCTTCTCTCTGCATGTATCTCCGAGCGCTGTCCTATTTCCAGCCTCCTGATGAATCGGGCTGCTGGTCGCTGACACCTCTGGGCCGCCGCGACTGGTGACATCACTGCAGGGTGTCTGCGCTCTGTCTAAATGACAAGGCCTGCCACTGGCCCCGTCTCCCCCTCTGGCTTGGAGGGTCGAGGCAGGGAATGCCTGCAGGCAGGAGCGCGGAAGGTGAAGAGACAGGGAAGGCTGCATCTCGGGGCTCCTGGGGTGGCTGGAATGGGCAGCTGGGCAGTGAGGGGAGGGAGAGGACATGCTCTGACTTTTTCATGAAACGCCATCCTGGGGGCAACGCCCTCCCAGAAACAGGCTTTCCCATGGCCGACCGTGACTTCACTCGAACTTGAACACCTTGCTGCCAAGTCATTTTTTGCCTCACAAGTCTCAGAGGCTGGGCTGGACAGCTGGTCCTAAGTATATCTTTGAAAAAAAGCAGCATAGATTAGAAACAGGTTTCTATGCCCCCACCCCCTCGCCTCTCCTAATTTCCTTTGTTTTACTCATCATCAAGTTTCCAATATTGTAATTTTATCTGCTACCAAGATGCCAACAATAACCCATTTTCCGTGACACCGTCACCTTAGAGCTTCCTATAGAATTTGCTCTGCTTACACATGTTGTAGGATTGATCTTTGCATTTCTTTATGCCTTGAGCTTTTTGCTTGCAGTTCCTTTTCTAAAGGAGCAGAGACAAGACAGCAGACCTTGCCTTTGTGGCGGGGGTCGGCCGTGGAGAGGGGCAAGGACAAGTGTGAGGGGGCAGAGGTGGGTGGGAGGGGGCGAGGCTGCTGTTATCCTACGATGTTGGTGGACAGTGACCAGCGAGTCTCGTGAAAGTGCCGGAAGGAGATGAAAGTTTTTCTTTGCTGTCATTCATCCGCTTAAATTTTCACCTTTGGAGAAATAATTTTCTCTCTTAGGAGCACCATCAGACTGGAGAGAATGGGCAGGCTGGCACATAAGAGAGTTAAATAAATGCATCCTTTGATGATGGGGACTGACTAGGGGGCATGTGACTGTGAGGAAGGGAGACAAGGATACAGGAGTAGAAGGCAGGTCAGCCAGTTCTAGCATGGGACGCCCCGGGGGTGCTTGCAGAGCTCAGAAAAGACTCAGAAGTCTTGCCTTCCCTGGAGGTGGGAGTATGAGCGCTGACCACAGAGACTCCAGCTCAGCTCATGTGTGTTGAGCTCCTTCCCAAGGAGGCCGTTCCCATTTCTAGCCCATCATGGAGAACAGGACTTTGTAAAGAGTCTGCCTGCAATGCAGGACACCTCGGTTCAATTCCTGGGTCCGGAAGATCCCCAGGAGAAGGGACAGGCTACCCACCCCAGAGTTCTTGGGCTTCCCTGGGGGCTCAGATGGTAAGGAATCCGCCTGCAATGCGGGAGACCTGGGTTTGATCCCTGGGTTGGGAAGATCCCCTGGAGAAGGCATGGCAACCCACTCGAGCATTCTCTCCTGGACAGAGGAGCCTGGTGGGCTTCAGTCCAGGGGGTCGCAAAGAGTCAAACATGGCTGAGTGACTCAGCGCAGCACACAGCACCAAATTCACAATCACGACGCGTCTCCTGCTGAGAGTCGAGGGCCAACTCTCATCTTTCATGTCTGGCACAGTGAGGGACCAACATGGCTTTCTGGATTACCTGATAGAAATCAGAATAACTCCGTCCACACGAGAAGACTTCTTCCACTTCAAGGGCTGTTGCTGCCGCTACATGCTGCTGACCTGACAGGCACAGGGGTGTGTCCTCCCCTGCCCCAGGACAAGAAACAGCATGCAGGAGGGGCAAGGACAAGGTTCTTAGCTCTGTGTTTGTACCACGTGCCTGATGGGGAGGAAGCGCCTTCATAGGATGGGGCTAACATGGACGACGTTGGCCAGCAATGCGTTGGCCACTCAAAACCCTCAGGGAATCCCTGGTTTCAGGAGTAGAAGACAAGGTTGGGGACTACTAAGATCTTGAGGGAGGTGATTACCTGGAGGTTGATTTCTGGTCAACATTAGCCTGAGTTTTTCCATTTTATTGCGGCACATTGTTTGAAATCAACAAGCCTGCAGAGTGTTGAATCTTTTGGGGTTGACAGTGGATCCCCAAAATACCAAATACCTTTTGAAGGGCTAATGAATATTAGTCAGGAACACATTAACATAAGTTTATTTAAAGGGCTTTTCTCCTAACACTTAGCTCAGATGAGCTGTACCAAGTAACGGGCAGTTTTATTTGGGCAGAAATGAAAGGAGACCTTCAAACGTGGAGAAGGCATGTGGACATTGGCCAACGGCCTACAGTGTGCCCAGGCCTGCATGAGAGGGTGGACACTGTTCCTTCCATTTGATCCAGGGGGAAACAGACTCAGAGAGGAACAGTGAGTGAAGGAGGCCAAGAGGGATCTGGACAAAGAGGCAGCTACATGGAGAAGCCATGATATGGATGCTTCTAGAAGGGTGGGGAGGGGTCAACCATGGCAACACCCCTTTCTCTAGACTTCATGCAAGCATCCCCTTTGCATGAAGTCTCTGATACTTTGGTTGGTGTATCAGTAGGAGTTGTGAGATAAAATTGTTCCCATTAAGTTTCTGTTCTGACAAATTCTCACTCACTCAGTAACTGTACTTACTACGTGTCAGGAACTGTGCTGGAGTGGTTGGGGATATGGTGAACCAGACAGAGTGCATTAGTAAGAAGCAGGTGTATAACGATCTCTCTACCTATCTACAGAGTGGTGGTTTGGTCATTCAGTTGTGTCCGACTCTTGTGACCCCATGGACTGTAGTCTGCCAGGCTCCTCTGTCCATGGAATTCTCCAGGCAAGAATACTGGAGTGGGTTGCCATTTCCTTCTCTAGGGGATCTTCCTGACCCAGAGATAGAACCCAGGTTTCCTGTATTGGCAGGAGGATTCTTTACTACTGAGCCAGAGGGAAACCCAAATACACACGTGCTTAGTCACTTCAGTCGTGTCCAATTCTTTCTGACCCTATGGACTGTAGCTTGCCAGGCTCCTCTGTCCATGGGATTCTCCAGGCAAGAATACTGGAGTGGGTTGCCATGGCCCCTTCCAGGGGATCTTCCCAACCCAGGGGTCAAATCTGGGTCTCCTGCATTGCAGGCAGATTCTTTCCCATCTGAGCCACAGAGGCATATGTACACACACGTAAGAGTGATACTGCATCTGTATTCCCCATTGTAAGATTTCCCAACGGCAGCGGCACTGTTACCTTTTGAGGCCAGATCATTGTGTCTGTGGGTCTGTCCTGTGCCGTGTAGGGTGCTTAGCGGTATCCCCAGCCTCTGCTCACGACAAGTTAGTATCACTACCCAGTGAGAATTCCCAACTGAAAGGGAGCTGTTGGAACACTGGGGATGTTGGTGGCTCTAAACAGAACCGGGCAAGGAAGTAGGACTGGGGCAAGTGGGTTTGCAGGGTGGAGCCAAGGCATCTTCACCAGGTAGGAAGGAAGCGCCAGAACACAGAACTAGAGATGGAAGTGGACTCGGAAATAAGAAGTCATGCCTTCAGTAAAAATAGCTACTGTTTATTGAGCACTAGGTTTATGTCAAACGTTTTAAGTGCATCACCTCATGTAATCTTCACACTAACTCATTGAGGGTCAGAGAGATGCAGAGACCTGTTCAAGTTGCTATTTTGGCTCAGAAGACACGGGAGTTTTTCTCTGGGCTCTAAATCAATCAGTATTCTAAAACTCAATCTAGCCCTGTGCCAGATGCTTGCCCTGTTCCCTCTCTGCATTGTCAAGATCCCAAAGCAGTGAAGGTCAGGGGTGGGAAACTCTACCTCTAAGACAAAGTGCCATTTGTCATTGGGAGATGGAGGTAGGAGGGAAGGCTTGTTGGAGAAAAAACACAGAACTGTTTTATGGATATTTGTGTGTTTCCTTGATGGGGATGCCCCTGCTCATAATCTCTCAGAGGCTTATTGTCTCACTCGGAAGAAGAGTCAAAATCTTCCCAGCGACTGCCCTTCACCAGCTCTCAGGTCCCCTGCTTACCTGCCCACTCCCCAAGTGGCCCTGGGAGTCGCTGCTGCTGGGGACCTGGAACCCCGGCCATGTCAGGCCTTTGCACACAGCGAGTCCTTCTGCTGGAGTGTTCTTCCACAGTCAGCGGTGTGCCCAGCTCCCGCAGCTCCCTCACCTCCCTCCATGGCCTATCAGGCCTCTCTTACGACTGTCCCTTTTCTCCACCCAAGTGGCCTTCTAACTTGCTGTGGATTCTACTTATTTCATTTTCTGTCTGACTTCCCCTTCTAGAAGGCAACTCCCATGGAGATGAGAAGCCCTGTCCATTATCCTCACAGCTGTGGACCTTAGAACAGTGTCTGCAATATAGTGGTTGAGGATGTGCGTGTTGGATGCTCAGTCGCGTCTGACTCTGCAACCCCATGGGCTGTAATCTGCCAGGCTCCCTTGTCTGTGGGATTCTCCAGGCAAGAATACTGGAGGGGGTTGCCATTTCCTTCTTCAGGGAATCTTCCTGACCCAGGGATGGAACCCAGGTCTCCTGCACTGCAGGAAGATTCTTTACCAACTAAGCTATCAGGGAAGCCTCTGGCACATAGGAGATGCTATTAAAAGTAGTTTTGAGTAAATTTTCTCGCTGGGCAGGTTGGTGGGATAAAATGCAACATTCATGAGAAAGATACATCCAAGTGCATGAAGAAAGCTGAGCACCATCTTGAGAACCTAGCTCTATGTGTCTCTTCAAGCCCCTCTGCCCACCTGCCCAGTGAGACTCTGGTCTTGGGAACAAGGCTGAAAGTGCGACACGGTGCATTTTTTAAATAGTCACGGTCTGCTGGATTCTTGTGAATCTGAGCTTACCTTGGCATGAAAAGAATAATCACATTTAGGGGAATAAAAGTAATTGTTCCATATTGCTTAATACAACTAATAACTGTTTAATAAAGGATATAAAAATTTCTCTGCCTTTCACCTCAGTAAATGTCACTCAGTCTATAACCTAATTACTTCAATTTTCCATTTAGGAAATGAATTCATTTCGAAGGCATGAAAAAGCAGCTGAGAAATTTTTTCCTTCTGGCCAAAGACTTAGAGACTCAAATGGGTTCAAAGACCTACCAGTCCTCCAAGGTCAGGAACAGAGCTTTCAAGTCAGCTAAATGGACTTCCACTTACGTCCCCGCTCCTTGAGTTTGACCTGAAGTAAATCAATTAAAGCAGATACAGGGCTCTCAGGTTTCTCTCTCTACCTTTCTCTCTTTCCGTTCCTTCCTGTGGGGGACTTGCAAGATACAGAGATGGCTTAGCAGCCACATTAAATAAGGTGGAGTGGACCTGGTACCTCTGGATCTTAGTTCTCTAACTGCGAAAGGAGAAGAGAAATAAATTGCGTTTAGTGCCCACTGTGTGGGAGATATTTAGCTAGGCATTTGGCACACTTTTTCTTATTAATTCCCATACCTTTTGAGCTGAATAAATGAACAGGCAAATACTGAACACACAAATCTTGTCTAACATTTAATGGGTGCCTATTATGCTAAGTATTTTACCTAAATTTTCTCCATTCACAGAAGAATTCTATAAGGTAAGAATTGCAATTATATCATTAGCTCCATCTTCTAGATAAGAGAGTAAGTGTTCAGTGAAGGTAAATAATTTGCCTAAATTGCTTAGTTTATAAGTAGTAGAGTTGGATTTTGAGGTGTTGTTTTTCCCTAGGTGGTGGTTGTCTAGCCGCGAGGTCATCCGACTGTTAGCGAGCCCCAGGGACTGTACCTTGCCAGGCTCCTCTGTCCATGCGAGTTCCCAGGCAAGAATACTGGAGTGGGTTGCCATTTCCTCCTCCAGGGCATCTTCCCTACCTAGGGATCAAATCTGCATCCCTGCTATCTCCTGCATTGGCAGGCAGATTCTTTACCACGGCACCACCTGAGAAGCCCCCTTCCTAGGTTGAACAAGGCTCAAAAACTTTCGACACATTTTTCAAGATCACCAGGCCAGTGCGCGCCAGGTCGGGCTGCAAAGTGTGTCTTCCTTGCATGACTCGCTCACCTTCTTCCAGGTGGCTGCCAGCAGCCGTCAGGATGAGAAACTCCCTGATGGGACCGGGAAGAATCCCCGGGTGTAAAACTGTGACCAGCTGCAGAGAGGCCCGCCTGCTGTGAGCGGGTGTGTGAGCGGAGCTGAGGGCTGTGGCCTCCTGCACCTCCGCCCACAGCACGGCCTTCCCCACGCAAGCGTCCCCCGTCCTCCAGCGTGCTTCCCGGAGCCTACGGCTGAGGTTACAGCCGCGTCACCGCGACCACCTCTGAGATCCCGCTCCGGAGAAGGGAGCCTAAGGAATCTGTCTGGGAGCTGGGCCTCCAGAGACACAGAAATCCCTTCAGAGCAGGGCATTTCCTGTCTGAAATGAAGACATTCCTCATCGGAATCCAGACCAGCCCGTTTCTTTCTTCTTTTTATTTATTTTTTATTGGAATGTAATTGATTTACAGTGTTGTATTAGTTTCTGCAATTTTCTTTGAAAAGAGGCGTATTCTCTCTTTGACAGGACCTCCCTCAACTGACTTCAGGGGCTAAGCCTGGCCCAAACCACGTCCCTGGTTGAGGCGCCTTGAGGCTGGGACTGACGGGGGGAGCGGGCGGCCGTGGACCCGAGGGGTCTCATCGGATGACCATCGGCAGCCCTGCACAGACACCTGCTCCTGTGCACATCGTGCTCAGACGCTCAGGTGTGTCCAACTATTTGCAGCCAGATGGACTGTAACCTGCCAGGATCCTCTGTCAACGGGGATTCTTCCAGGCAAGAGTATTCACCAAATACTAACTCCCAGTTTTCTTTGAGTAAGGAGACTCAAAGATCTGTGACTTTTCGTTCTTTTCACTTAGTGATAAATACTGACTGTGACTAATCTGGAGGAGGAAATGGCAAACCACTCCAGTATTCTTGCCTGATCCCATGGGCAGATCCCATGGACAGAGGAACCTGGCGGCTACATCCAGAGGGTTTACAAAGGGACGTGGCCGAGCACACAGCACAACTGACTGATACTTCTGTCCTTCCGCTGGCTGCCCCTCCCTGCCCCCATCTCCCACGGCAAGGGCAAAGCTGACCGGAAGTGAACCCGTGGGTCTACCCAGTTCTACATCAGCATCTTTCCCAGGGCCCGGCCCAGTCCCTGCAGTCAACAGGAAGCATCCCCAGTCAGTGCCTGTCACTCACCCTGGGGGTGGGGCTGTCCAGTCATCCGGGATGAGGCTGGTTTCCTTAAACCGCCTGACTCTGCTCCCTGGGATGGTATACAGACCGAGGCTTGCAGGAGGGCAGACTGCTCAGACTTCACAGGCTTCGTGGCTAGCTGGGGAAGGCTGACAGCTGAGGGAATTCAGCAGACAGTGCTCAGAGGACTGGGTGTGTTTCAAGAATCCACTGATGGAGATACAAGCACCCCCCCGCCCCCCACCCCGCGGTGTGCCAACATCAAATGCAGGCAGATCAGTGGGCTATCGTTATTAAAAATAATCATCAAAAGGATTTTCCTCAAAGACGACATGCTTTTCAAAGTGTGTTGGATCGTTCCCTTCTAAAACCCAGGAGTTTCTGGTGAGGAAGATCAGGGGCTTTCCCCCTTAATCTACAGGTTTAGGAATTCAGAGTCGCATGAGGCTTGCTTCAGGAGGTGGAGGAACTGGTAGGCTCTGGGATTCTTGACATGAACTGGTGGGTTTGTTCCCAGTTCACACTGCTGACAGCAGACGCTTCCTATGCTCTCATCTGGTTTCCTAAGATGCTCCACTGATGATGTTCACCACTCGAATTCAAAGGGTTAAAAAAAATGCTCGAAATGATATTGAGACAAGGCAACCTGAGCTTGATGAGCAAAAAAATGTGTCATTTACTGAGGTGAGGATGAACGTACAATGCATATCTTTAACAGTTATGTTTCAGGTGGAGCATATGCCCAACAGTTATCAGGTTTAATATCAGAGAAAGAACTGTTAATTCATTTCTGTTCATCAGGATTGGGAACCTGTCAGGCATACGTGTAGTGCTGGGAAGAGCAGTTCGCTGAGGTAACAAGAAATTGGCCTTTGGTTCTGCATAAAGAGGAGACAGGAGGCTGGGTGAGTGTCTGACAAGGTCAGTGCCTCAAATGCCACTTCCTCTGGAGAAGGGCTAGGCTGCCCACTCCAGTGTTCTTCGGTCTCCCTTGTGGCTCAGCTGGTAAAGAATCCTCCTGCAATGCAGGAGACCTGGGCTCGATCCCTGGGTTGGAAAGATCCCCTGGAGAAGGGAAAGTCTGCCCACTCCAGTATTCTGGCCTGGAGAATTCCATGGACTGTGTAGTCCAAGGGGTCGCCAAGAGTTGGACACGACTGCATGATTTTCCCTTTCACACCATTTCTCAGACACATCAAGACTATGTTTTATTTCTTTTCTATATTTATAGTGAGAGTCTGTTGGTTTTCAAGAGAATGATTTGTTTTATAAAATAGACAGTATATTCTGCATCCTCTTCAAAATGTGGTTCCACTTGCTGGACTGATGGTTGCTCTTAGGAGGGACGCAGGGCTCAGCGATGGAGGAGGAGACAGCACGCAGCATGGAGCCGGGATGCGGTAGGGACTTCAGGGGTCAGAACTAGGTCAGGGCTGTGGTTTTATTGGCCTTCTTAGTTTGTAAATATCCCGCATTACAGTCAGTTGCATCTCATGAACTTGGTCATATTTGCTTCTCTGTGATCTACAAAAATGTCAATTTCATACAAACCACCCTCAGAGTAATAGGTTATTATAATAGCAATATGGAAGCACAATAATCATAGACTCCTAATAACAACTGTTCTGTGATTGCCGGGCCCAAGGACTCAAGGTGGGAGAGGGGGAAACCACATCCTGGAAAGTGTGGCGCAGGGGTGGGGGAGCTGGGATTGTCGATGGGATGGAGTTCTTGATGAGAGAGCTTCCCACCTCTTCCACTCCCTTGCCTGTCCAGAATGGTCTAAGAGAGGACTTGGGAACCTCAGGAGTAAGACTGAAGTAGGCGTGGCTAACTCCTTATTCCACTGCAGTGAGGAGAACCAGATGCCTCCTGGGGCCTGTGAGACATAAACAAGTTTCCAAGTGAGGGAAAGCTGAGGCTCCCTCACTCCTTCTGGTCCCTGGTAGACATTTCAAGGCCGGGGCTCAAAGCTCTTCAACAAGGTGCTTCCTGCGTGCGTGCTGTTGCTTAGTTGTATCCAACTTCACAACCCCGTAGACTGTAGCCCGCCAGCCTCCTCTGTCCATGGGATTCTCCAGGCAAGAATACTGGAGTGGGTTGCCATCCCTCCTCCAGGGGATCTTCCCGACCCAGGGATTGAACCCATTGCATTGCAAGCCATGGGGGGAAGCTCAAAACCGTTTAGCAAGATGCTTCCGATGTTTTAATTATCTCTGCTACCTTTCAAGCCTCATTACTTGCTTGAAGGTATTTTGTGGCGATGGTAATTCCCCAAACAACCTCCATGCCCCCAACAACATTCTAAACCTCAGCTAATGTCTATGAAGTTCCACTGAAGAATTCTTTTTCTCAATCTCTATGTTGCAAGTAGTACATACAAAATTATATTTTCTTACACACAAAAAAAATTCCCTATACTTTCTTGTGGCATATTTCTGAGTTGAACTTGGGAGCTTTTTGAGCCATTTTTAGAAAGTATTTTCTATAAACAAGAAGCTCTTTCCCTGAAAAGATCCTGCAGCATCAACACAGATTCTTGGGGTGAGGCATACAATACACACCTTCAGAGTCTTTTCTACATCGGAATCAATTCCAGGCCAACACACACAACTTTGAGCTTTAAAGATTGGTGACCTTAGTAACTTTGGCAAAATGCCTTGTGAGAAGCTACTGTGAAGGATTCTTTATTGCTACAGACCACAGGTGGAAATGACTCCAAGTTGCCCTTCCAGGTACTTATCAGTATTGCTGCCAAAAGCCATAAGACATGCTCCTCTTGACCTTTTGAATGTCTGTTTTGATTATGATAATGCTACCAGCTAGCTGTAACAGGTTTATCAAGACAGACCCTGAAATTCCAGGGACTTAACCACAACTGAATTTATTGCTTATATAATCATCCAACATTGTGTTCAGCAGACAGTCTTCCACACAGTGATTCAGGGGCCCAAACCCCTTCCCTCATGTGGCTCCATGTTCACTGGGGAAAGGGGATAGAGGAGTAGTGAGAACACACTGGCTTCCTAAAATCAACCCAGAAAGGGCATCCTTATTGGCTCAGATGATAAAGAATCCACCCTGGATGCAGGAGGCTGGGTTCGATTCCTGGGTCGGAAAGATCCCCTGGAGCAGGAAATGGGTACCCACTCCAGTATTCTTGCCTGAAGAATCCCATGGACAGAGGAGCCTGGTGGGCTACAGTCAATGGGGTCGCAAAGAGTCAGACATGACTGAGCAACTAACACTATTCTATACTCGGCACAGAAAAGACAAGATGACTTCTGTTAATAATCTCCATTAGTAAGAGGTAGTATCATGATGGAAGTGGTTTAGTTGCTCAGCCATGTCTGACTCTTTGTGACCCCATGGACTGTAGCCCACCAGACTCCTCTGCTCATGGGATTCTCCAGGCAAAGATACTGGAGTGGGTTTCGATTTTCTCCTCCAGGGGATCTTCCTGACTCAGGTGTTGAACTTGCATCTCCTGCATTGCAGGTGGATTCTTTACTGCTGAGTCACCAAGAAAGCTCTAACAGCTGATATCATGGTCCCATCTCAATGTAAGAGGACCTGGAAAATTCTTTTCCTTGCAGTGCTACACTTTGGAAGAGGAACACATATCTTTTTGGACAGCTGACTGTGTGATCCAGTAGAGTGTCATTCTTTTGCTTCATTATTGTTAAAGAATCAAGATATTGTAATGACATGTGCTTGGATTTTTTTTCCCCAAAGGATTTGGAAAAGTATACATTCTTGAAAGTTGGCTTAAAGCTCAACATTCAGAAAATTAAGATCGTGGCATCCGGTCCCATCACTTCATGGCAAATAGATGGGGAAACAGTGGAAACAGTGGCTGACTTTATTTTTTTGGGCTCCCAAATCACTGCAGATGATGATGCAGCCATGAAATTAAAAGACACTAACTCCTTGGAAGGAAAGTTATGACCAACCTAGACAGCATATTAAAAAGCAGAGATATTACTTTGCCAACAAAGGTCCATCTAGTCAAGACTATGGTTTTTCCAGTAGTCATGTATGGATGTGAGAGTTGGACGATAAAGAAAGCTGAGTGCAGAAGAACTGATGCTTTTGAACTGTGGTGTTGGAGAAGACTCTTGAGAGTCCCTTGGACTTCAAGGAGATCCAACCAGTCCATCCTAAAGGAGATCAGTCCTGAATATTCATTGGAAGGACTGATGCTGAAGCTGAAACTCCAATATTTTGGCCACCTGATGTGAAGAGCTGACTCATCTGAAAAGACCCTGATGCTGGGAAAGATTGAGGGCAGGAGGAGACGGGGACGACAGAGGATGAGATGGTTGGATGGCATCACCGATTCAGTGGACATGAGTTTGAGTAAACTCCGGGAGTTGGTGATGAACAGGGAGGCCTGGCGTGCTGTGATTCATGGGGTCACAAAGAGTCACACATGACTGAGCGACTGAACTGAACTGGCTGACACTCTTGAAAAGTTTCTTCTTCTTGCGGAATCTGCCTTCTCCTTGAACGAGCAAACCACCTGTGTTTGACCATCCGTAGCCTCTGCAGGGTCTCACCTCCTTCATTTTGCCCCACTGACCCTCTGAAGGAGTCACCTGACATCATGTTGGAACAAGTATTTCTATAAGAAATGACACCTTTGATTTCTGTGGCATGCAGTGATGTGATATCATTAGGGAGATGCTTTTCTTGGGCCATTATAAATGTCAAATTTGGTTCAGTCTGAAGGTATTGTTGGAGGAATTCACTGTGAATGCTGCATGCAAGGCAGTTCCACAAACTCATCTAGGAGATCTCCAGTATTGCGTGGCTGAGACAATTGACATGGTTTTTCAATGACTCAGATTTGCTCACTAGGTTCTTGATTTCATTTTTATAAATTGAGTCTCTAAACAATGACTGATGGCTCTGGTTCAATGTGTCCCATAATTCAACCAGTGGAATAAACATTGCATTCTCTAGTATCCCTGGTGGGCTCAGACGGTGAAGAGTCTGCCTGCAGTGCAGGAGACCCGGGTTCAATCCCTGGGTCAGGAAGATCCCCTGGAGAAGGGAATGGCAACCCACTCCAGCGTTCTTGCCCTGGAGAATCCCCAGGGACAGAGGAGCCTGGTGGGCTACAGTCCACAGGGTTGAAAAGAGTTGGACTCAACTGAGTGACTAACACACACACACAGACACACACAGACACACACACACACACACACACGTAGCGGAAATAGGGCTTCCCTGGTGGCTCAGTGGTAAAGAACCTGCCTGCCAGTGCAGGAGATGTGGGTTTGATCCTGGGTTGGGATAATCCCCTTGAGAAGGAAATGACAACCCACTCCAGTATTCTTGCCTGGGACATCATCCCATGGACAGAGGAGCCTGGCAGGGTACGGAACATAGCGTCACAGAAGAATCCAGCATGACTTAGCATCAATAACAACCTAGCAGAATCAGGGAGGGATCTTCATGGACAAGCAGTAGTGGACGGGAGCTGGAGCTTTGCATTCGGCTTTATAACCTTTTAAACTTCAGTTTGCTCTTCCGATAAACCACAATGGGGCTCATGTCCCAGGAGGACCCGGAGGAGTGAGGGAGGTAATGCAAATGAAATGCTTAGCCCAGGGTTTGGCAACTCGTATTTGCTCAATAAGGGCTTCCCATGGTAAAGAACCCACCTGCCAATGCAGGAGACTTAAGAGATGTGGGTTTGATCCCTGGGTTGGGAAGATGCCCTTGAGAAGGATATGGCAAGCTACTCTAGTATTCCTGCTTGGAGAATCCCATGGACAGAGGAACCTGGCAGGCCACAGTCCAGGGGGTCGCAAAGGGCTGGACAAGACTGAAGTGACCTAGCATGCACGCGCTTGCTCAGTAAATAGAGCTCTTCTTTTGCTTTGGTGTTAGTTTCCTGTTGTTGCTTCAACAAATCGCTTCAAGCAAAGGTGTTATCCTCCAGTCCCCTGAGTTGCAAATCCAACATGGGTTTCACAGGGCTGAAGTCAAGATGTGGGCTGGGGTGCTTCCTTCCGGAGAGTCCGGGAGAATCTGGCCCCTTACTTTTTCCAGCTTCTGCAGGTGCTTCTGCTCCTTGGCCTGTGTCCTTTCATCTTCAAAGGCAGCACCAGCAGGGAGGGTCCTACCGCCGTCATATCCTAAGGCTACAGCCCACCCTTCAACCTCCATCTCCCATGTGGAAGGACTCTGATCACTTTGATAAGTCTGGATCACCCAGAATTAACTGCTCACTTTAAGATCGCCCGATTAGCTGCCTTATTTCGTTTACCATCTTAATTCCTCTTTGCCCAATAGCTGGACATATTCATAGGGTTTGAGCATCAGGATGTGTTCATCTCTGGGGGCTCTCATGCTGCCTGGCACACCTTCTCTTTGTCTTCAAAATGTTTGAACCTTTTAAATGCTGATCCACTGGGTACATTGCTCTTTTTCTCTTTTTAGAGTACACTCTAACTCTCTTACTATTGGAATCATCTGAAGCAGTTTTTTGATGTCTAATTCTTGTTTCTTTTCTCCAAAGCAACTATTTAAAGCATGGTGGGCCAGAAGAGAGGTCGTGTTCTATTATTTACCTGTAGCTATTAAAAGCAAAATAATAATGCATATTATAATTTATCCCCCTCAGAGGTGCTCACGACACTGGAATTCGTGTCAAGTTCGGGCGCCAATAAAAATCAGCAAAGGATGAGCAAACATTCGATAGGCAAGGCGTGTATTTCCAGTAAACAGATCTGGAATGACTCCACGTGAACTCAGGGTGCTATGTAGGATACTCCAAAGGACAGAGCCAAAAATTAAAATAAGAAAAACCTACGGCTGTTGAACTTGCTATTGTCTCCCTCACAGCCCCTTCTCAGGGTATTTGCATCTGCACAGTCATCGCCATGTTGGGCAAATCCAAGGGCACCTCCGATGGTGGGTTCCCCGGGCCAGCAGGTAGGAGAGGAGGAGAGGGCTGGCCTGGGTCATGAACCGGGGCTAGAGCTGCTGTTGGTATTCACGCCTACTCCCTCCCTCCTCCACATCCTTTCATGGGGCTTCAAAGGGACTTGAAAGCTAGCTGCTTGCCCAGGAAAGACACCCTGCTCAGTGGGAAGGGAGGACAGTTTATTAGCCCCGAGCATCTCCCCGACACCTGACATCCACGGGCAGCGGCCGCCGGCCCCGGCTTGTGTCCAGTTTGCTCAGGCTGGGCTGGGCTCCAGGCCCCTGCCCGCCCCTGTCTGAGGTTTGTGCAGCCCGAGGCCTGTGCCTGCGAACGGGCTGCTGGGCTGGGGCTGGAGGTAGGAGCCGCGCAGCCCCGGGCCTGGCTGGGAGAGAAACCGGCCTCCCTCAGAGGGGGCAGAGCGGGCGCGGGAATTGGAGAGATGTTGATCAACTCCATTTAGCAAACGGCACAATGCGTGTTCAGGCACAATGGCCTTTTCCGCAGGCGGATCAGTCCCGCCAGAGCCACCGCTGTGTGAAAGAGGAGAGGAAGGCGCGCTGGAGGGCTGCAGAAAGGGGGGCCGGGCTGCGCGGGGCAATCAATGGCGGCCTTTGTGCCTCCTGACATTTGAGGGGCTTGTTATCGGCGATTGAGGCTGCTTTATCTAAACGTATCTCCCCAGCTGCCAGCGCGCTGATAGGTGGGGGCGCGCGATGCCCGGAGACACCGCGCCTCCGGCGGCGGGCGCTGTCACTCTCCCGCTTTGCTCTCAAAGGCGAGATGCGACGCGCCCGTTTGTTTCTCCTGTCGGCTCGAAGAAACAGCCAAAGAGAAAATGCCCACGCCAAACCACGCTGCCACCCGGCCCCACACTACCCAAGCCTAGGCGGCGGGTCCCGGGGGTCCCGGGAGGGGCAGAGGTGTGAAGGAGGCCTGCGTTATTTCTCCGTTAGAGGAGATGCCATTCTCTGGGTCTGTCCTTGCGACTCGGGCAGTCTGAGTGCACCCAGCTCCTCCCTGCTCTTCAGACCCTGAAGTGAGGCTCCGCGGAGGACCGAACCACTCTCTGTGCGGTTTTGACTTTGCTTCATAAGGTCTGACTTTTGTTCAGGCCCTCGTCTGCCTGACCCGATGTCCAGCACACACCATTGGTGACCGAAGCACTTACAGGTGTTGGAGGGGCGCACAGACTGGGCACCTAGGGTGACCCGAGGCCGTTGGCACCTGGGACATCAAATAATGGTTCAAATGACTTCTGTCCAAAATCAAAAAACAAAGACGAGCCTTGTCGAGGATGTGGAGCAAAGGGAACCCTTGCACGCTGTCGATGGGAATGCAAAACGGAAAACAATGTGTGTGCATGCCAAGTCCCTTAGTCATGTCTGACTCTGTGCGACCCTATGGATGGAAGCCTGCCAGGCTCCTCTGTCCTTGGCATTCTCCAGGCAAGGATGCTGGTCTGGGTTGCTGTGCTCTCCTCCAGGGGATCTTCCTGACCCAGGGATCGAACCTGCATCTCTTGTGTCTACCTGCATTGGCAGGCAGGTTTTTTTACCACTGGAGCCACCTGGGAAGACTTGGAAAACAATATGAGCTCCTTAAAAAATTAAAACTAGACCTACCATATAATCCAGCAATCCCATTTCTGTTTATTTATTTCAAATAATTGAAATCAGGATCTTGAAGTGATGCCAGCATGCCTTGTTCACTGCAGCATCATTTACAGTAGCCAAAACATGGAAACAGCTCAAGTGTCCACCAGCAGATAACTGGATAAAGAAGACGCAGTGCAGACGTACAATGGAATAGTACGCAGCCATAAAAAAGAAGTCAGTTCTATAATATACAACAACATGGATGAAACTTCAGGACATCAGGCGGAGTGGTTTAAGCCAGTCACAGAATGACAAATCATGTTGATTCCAATTATATGAGGTCTTTAAAACAGATAAATTTAGAGAACCCTAGAGTGGCCTGGTGGTCGGGGAGGGGGGTGTGAGGGGGTGGCGGAATGGGGAAGGCTGATCACTGGGCATAACATTTCAGTTGTGTAAGATGTCTAAGTTCTAAATATCCTTTGCACCACACTCTGCCTACAGTCAACACTGACCACTTAGGAATTTGTTGAGAGAGATCTCATGTGAAGTATTCTTACCACAACAACATACAGTTTAAAAAATATATTGTGGTCTCTAGCCTGAGGCAGGCTCCCATGTTCCACTGTGACCTCAGGCAGTGACTTAGCCTTCTTAGGCCTCGATATTCCCATCTGTAAAGTGGCAACAGTTCCCACACTTTAAGGTCATTGTGAGAATCAAATGAATCATCGCTGCCTGTTGCAGGGTGAATGGCTGTTCCTCAATGTGCTTAATTTTATCATCCTTTATTTTATTATTTATTTATACTTTTTATTTATTTATTTTCTAATATTATTATTTATTTATACTTTATCTTTTTAATTTTATTTATCTTTTATCCTAGTACAATTTTATTATTTGATCCATTTTCTTGCATGTCACAGGTGGCACAGTGGTAAAGAATCTGCCTGCCAATGCAGGAGATGCAAGAGATGTGAGTTTGATCCCTGGGTCAGGAAGATCCCCTGGAGAAGGAAACGGCTACCCACTCCAGTATTCTTGCCTGGGAAGTCCCATGGACAGAGGAGCTTTGTGGGCTACAGTCCATGGGGTTTCGAAGTGTCCAACATGACTGAGCGTACACGCACACACACACACACACACATACACTCACACCATTTTCTTAGAAAAGGTTGCATTAAAAGTACTGTAAGCGTGCAGTTGGATGTATCTTTATCATTTGGAGTATTTACAGAAAATGAAGTTCTTCCCAGGACCATATGGATGAATTAATGTGTGGCTAAAGTAATAAGTTCTCATGTTGATATATTTTTATGCCCCCCTCTTGGCCCAAGATTCAGACACACCTCTCCCAACATTTAAAGTTTGTTTCTCCTATCATCAACCTATAAGTTCTTGCATTGTGCATGCTGTTATCAAAGAAAAATAAATAGGAAGAGTAAAGAGGGATCAAGTTTAGGGAAGCCCTGTGTGGAGTGTGCCCTTTGAATGGGGGAGGCAGCTGGCGGCTGGCAGGCGAGGTGTGCTGCCATTGACCACCCCAAATCTGCAGATCTGCAGATGTGGCTCCTCCATGCTGTGCTGGACTCTTTGTCTTTTTTAAGACAAGATTAAAATTACCACTGATGCCTAAAAAGGTTTGAGGAGCTGTGTGGCAATGTCAGCTCAGGCTGAATATACATTTACACTTGCTTAGAGGTAATGAATCCAATAGGGTGAGCATTACTGATGAAATAAATCATTTTCCTCCTGATGTGGATTTCTGCTATTTCCTTGTCTGAGAAAAACATCACTTAATGCCAAAAAAAAAAAAAAAAGTTTTAACATCGATAGATAGAGTGATATTCATCAGCTCTATTATCTGCTTAGCTACAAAAGGTTCTTTGCCAAATATGATAATTAATTAGCTGCATACTTCAACTGCCAGTTGATCATCTCTCATTAGGGGCTGAAGTGGCCCCTGTGTGTGGCCGCTCAGCTGGCTGGGCCGCTCAGCTGATGGTGCTTAGGGATGCTAGATACAGAGATATAGCATCAGTATAATTATAAGCAAAAAAAAAAAAAAAAAGAAAAGTCAGATGCTTGTAATGTGATTTATAAGCTTGGGTTTTTCCCCTTTCTTTTTTCTTGACAGGTGTAGTAAATGCAAGACTTGAGACTGAAATTTGGGCTATTACTGGAATAAGAAAACAGTCCCCTTATGTTCGTATCACCGACAATTCTGAATGCAGGAGAAAACGGAAACCCGAGCCCTTTAAAATACATTTGGCATTTTAAAACATAGTGCTGCACTTTGCTATCCTGTAATTCAGTTTTTGACGTGGTTGTAGGATCTGATTTGGTCTGGAGTGGCTGCGTCCTTTTGTTCGTGTTAATGCTTTGCTGCGGAGAAGCCAAGTGTAAAAAGCCATCTTTGTTCTCAGGGCAGCAATGGTCTCTGTGTCCTCAAGGTTGAAGGAAAATGGGAGTATCTTGTCTTGATCTCTGGAACACCCCAAAAAATCAGATAGGCAAGTAGTGAAAACTGTCAATGCAGGTGTGGGTTTTTTAAAAGAGAGAGACAGACCAGCAGGATGTGGTCCCCTCAGCAGGAAAGTCGCATGCGCCCTGTTCAGTTCTGCCTGAGTGCCCCGCAGGGTCCCCCGTGAGCCCCCTTCCCTCCGCCACCCTCCCCGATGACGGGCAGGCGTGCAGCCAGACATGCGTGTGCAACGTTGCCTTTGGGAGAATTCTGTTCCTGCAAAGGCGAGGAGCTCCAGGGAGGCAGCAACTCCCAAGACATGCTTCCATCAGTCCAAACTTCACGGCAGCTGGAACATTCATGACTTTTCCGTGTGTGCTGCCGGGAAGGATCGTACTAGCTCTGGGGGCAGCAGATAGAGTTGGTGACCCTCCCACCCCCGTTCCTGTTTCCGCCCCCACCGCCCTCATCCACTGACACCTGCTTTCGTTCCCAAAGCCTTTCTTAATGCTGTAGCATAATTCACGAGGACAGCGTTAAGGAGCTGACCACTAGTCTGGTGGGAGGAGGTATAGAGGGAGGGGGCCGAAATGCCAGACTCAGAGAAAGTTGAGCGGGCGGGGCATCTGGAAAGGCCCAGAAAGAGCTTTCTATCAACCAAACGGATCGGGCTTGCAGGCCGTAAAACTTTCAGATGACCTTCACGTCAAAATATTAGGCCGCTATTTTTTGCTGGATGGTAGTTTCATAAACATAAAAAGCACACACATCATTCAGAGTGCAGCAAAATGTGTCTCATACAGGTGAAGCGCCCCCTTTTTCAGAAAGACTGATGTGGGCTGCATATCGTGGAGAACATGACGCAATGTGCCCGCCTCTCGCTTTAGCTGAAATGGATTATTTACGGTGGTTCTTCTGGCTCTTCTTCCTTTTAAAGGAAAACACTAAAGGATGTACACGGATATACAAATAGCAAGAAGAGAAAGATGTAAATCCTAGAGAAATTTTGCTTATTTTCATTCAGGAAAATTGCCCACTGAGTTCTGCAATTTACAGAAAAGATGAGGACGTTAATATTCCACTAACAGCCAGAAGACAGCTATGATGAACTGTTCAAAGTAACTCTTCTTAATGGGAGAAACAATTCATCGCAACTATGAACAATAGATACTTTACTTCATTGAAATCATTTTCTTCTCAAGGTTAAACGGCAGGAAGGCAGATAAATGCTCGAATTTGCACAGTTTAAATGAGAGCAAATGTAAATATGTTCCTAAGAATGTGTAGCTGTCTTCCGCTGCAGCTCTGTTGAGCTCCCTCACCTGGGATGCCCAAGGATGGGGGACATGCAGGGTCCGATGGGGTAACAGGACCGGTGAGGCTCTAGGGGTCCAGCCGCACCATCAGGTCGAAGGAGCCAGTCCGAGAGCATGTCATCAGGTTTGGGGGATGATTGGAGAAGGACAGGAAACAGTTACTCATAAAGATTAAAACAGTAATTGTGAGTCATTTTCAAATAATTCCCTGGTTACCAGTCAATAAAGGGAATGCACAGTAAGAGTGCTTTTTCAAGACAAATGCGATATGCAAAGGTTGCACTCTAGCGTTGCTCTCGGAATGGAGAGGTGATTACATCCTTGGGTTTCTGGGACCTAAGGTAGAATTGGCCCTGCCTTTTTCTATCGCCTCTGACATCCTGGTTTAAATAGAATTTCTTCCTGCACTTAAGACTTGAATTAAACAAATGTGAAAGTGAAAGTGAAGTCGTGTCCGACTCTGTGACCCCATGAGCTGTAGCCTTCCAGGCCCCCCCCATCCATGGGATTTTCCAGGCAAGGATACTGGAGTGGGTTGCCATTTCCTTCTCCAGGAGATCTTCCCAACCCAGAGATTGAACCGGGGTCTCCTGCATTGTAGGCAGATGCTTTGCTAAGTAAACCCTGAGCCACAGCCTTCACAGTTGGGAGCGTTTGTGAAAGCAGGGCTTCCAAACACATTCACCTAAATGACCTATTGGCAGATAAATGGCTCTTTGTCGTAGCCACATCGGCTGAGCCGGTGACGTGGCCGTGTTGCTGGGTGACGTCCATGGTGTGGTGGATTTGGTCTAGGACCCTCAGTCTCCTTTCCTGTCCCGTGCTCCTCCGGCGCTGACACCCACAGGAGTCACCGGCAGAGAAGCTAGGTCGGAGGGTATGCATCTCTACCGAGCTCTCAGGATGCCACCGATGCTGTCCAAGGACAGCAAGCACTTGCCATCGGCAGTCATCTGATAGGTTTCGTTTCACAAGACCGCTGTCTCCGAGGCCGGTTTCCTTCCAGCCTTCAGCTGCAGTCTGAGCTCCGACCAGTGGGCAAGTGGAGGGGCGCACGGCTGGAGGGGGGATGGGAGTCACAGCTCCAAATAATAAATCAGCGTGCGCACAGGTTCTTCACGACAGCCCTGTTGGTTCTGCTTTCCTAAAGCTTTGATGCAGTAAGACCTTGTTTATTCTCCCAATCTCCTCTTAGGTTTCACAGAGACAGATTCCTTTTCTTTGATGGAAGTGATGAAACTCTTTAAAATAGAGCATGACTCAATTTCTAACGTTAGAAATAGATACACAGAGCCGTTTCTCTACCCCCCCGAGCAAGTAGCTGACTTAGGAGACGGGCTGGGGCTTGGCGGGGTGGGGACGGCAGGAGCGGGGCTCAGTCTAAAACTGGGCCTTCCTTCGGAGAGGCTGGACCTCCCAAAGGACCAATTATGGTTCTAGTCTGACAGCTTGGAAGCTAGTCCAGACCTGCGACACTACTCATTGGTTGAATTTTTTTATTAGAAAAATGTCGTTTCGTGTCTGAGCAACACCAGATAGTCTTCCAAGCCATCAGCATGCCACACATCTTTGGGGTTGTTGCCGTTTCGTGTCTGAGCATCCGTCGTGGTCTGTCTCTGGGGTTCCGGGTAACCTGGGCAGCCCCTCACCCCTTGGAGCCACTCTCAGGCTGTCTGAAGGGAAAGGGCCAAGGCACCTTCCCTGGACACTGCCTGGACATGGACCACGGTCTCTGCAGAGTCAACAGACCCCTACCGCATGGCCTCTATCCTGTGACTGAATATTCAAACTGTTTCAAGCTCTAGAACGATCTATCTTCTAAAAGAAAATTGGATTGCCCAAACACGTCATTTTATTCATCGAAGCAATTCACTCCAAAAATCTGAGTAGTTAACATTAGCAATCTGGAAAGGTATAAACCTGAAACTAACACATCTTCATATCTCAAAATAGAAAAAAAAAACACAACAGATTTTCCTCCTAATTCAGACTAGCCGTCTTTGATTTGTCTGTACCAAGCTCTGTTCCTTTCAGGATTGCTGACGTGGCTCAAGCATTGGGCCAAGAATTCTGCTATTTCAGTAGTTCTTCTGAACAACTGGGCTCAAGAGAATTAACTCTGGATCTTAAAGTTTCCAGAAAGCTGGAAGATGTTAATGTTTAAGTTTAATCTATTGAAGTGAGTTGGAAAAACTTGAGCAAAATTGAAAACTTTAATGGTATACCCCCTTTTCCAGCTTTTCTGTTTAATTTGTAAGGTGATCAGCTCTTCCGGTTTGTACAAAATGATCATAGTGTTTGCACTGAAAGTCCCACACCCAGGAAACCACTCAGTCTTGGACCAACCAGGATGTTAGGTCTAGAATATCTGTGTCCACTGATACCACTGACAGCAAAGATAATATTCAGAAGAGTTGGTGGTTCTAGCCATCTTGACTAAGTCAACATCATAGTGACAGGTCCAAGGTGATCCCTTTAGGTGGTGAACGGTGTATTAGCTGAACTCATCCCTGCCTTGTTCTTCGTTGCTTCCAGAGCCACAGTGGACCATCCAGATGCTCATTACCTGCCAGGGGAAAGGGCATACTCGTTAATGTGCCAGCTGGGCATGGGGTTGGGGACGAATGTGCTCTTTGTGAGGACTAATTCTGGAAATCAGTCCATGTGCTGTTGGGGGCTCATATGTTGGACTGCCAATCCGTGTTCTGGACCTGTCAATAATCACAGCTGATCCATGGTGAGCCTGTCTGATCACTTCTGGGCCATATCTGCTCTTCAGTTTATTCACACTGATAGGAACTTGGCTCGTCAGGGTGTTGTGTTGAGTGAGGAACGCTGTGGGGGAGTATGAGCAGGTAGGACCAGGGACTTTTCTCTGATGACCAGAGTCGATCTTCCCACAGTTTTTGAAATTAGGTCAGAGATTGGTTCCAAGAAAATCTTTCTCTGCAATACTTATTGTACACAATCCTTCCTCCCTCCCCAGCAAAGAAAGTCAAGCAAGGAAGAAAACCTCGAAGCCCAGTGGCACCAAGTTCTGACAGCCCTTCCTCTCCCATGTATATCTGCTCATTTCTCATCCCCTGTGGCCAAGACCCCATCATGGCCCAGAGCTGCTCCAATCATCACCTCAATGGAGTCTGGTACCCAGGCTGTCTCTCTCAACAAATACACTCCTTTTGAGTTTATCCTGTAGAGTTTTTTGACATTTAGCTTCATAAATGGTCACCTTGGTCATATTCTACCACTGACCCAGAGTGTTCTCTGCCTCCTTCCACATTTAAATTCTGAGCCTTTAGCTTGCTTAAGTCAGGTCTGAAAGGCAGTGAGAGCACAGTGATGCTCAGAACTCCCTGGTTCCAAGATAAAGTAGGCAGGTAGTGAGCTGGAACGATAAAGGGAATGTCCTGATTTTCTGGGCAGGGAAGAAAGCTGAGCCCCTCCCAAGAAGGCAGGAAAAGCTCCAGGTCCAGGTCCTGAGGCAGAAGTGAATACTTGGGAGCTGGCCATTTTCATCAGCCCTGGACCACTCGAGTAATGATACACCCTCAGTGGGGCCCATCTCCTTGATCACCTCGAATCTTGGTTGCAGTATTTCTATCCTTCACAGAATAAGTTTTTACTGAAATGGCTAAGATTATCTTTCTATCACCATTTTTCATGTGCACTCCATTTATTATTGAGACTTTATCACGGTTTCTGCCATTATTTTTTTCTTCGTCATTGGTACATCATTATCTCCTTCCTTCCTGCTCTGACGCCTTCCGTCTCCCCGCACCATCTTCCCCACCATCTCCGTACCCCTTCCGTGAGCCCACTGCCTGCCACCCTTGCACAGCCTCTTCCATAATCAGCCTCATCAACCAGAGGATACCTTTGTTACAACTGATGCAGCTACACTGACCCGTCACAATCACCCGGGGTCCATCGTTCCCTCTCGGTGTTGTAGATTCAGCGGAAACATGTGCCATGACCTGTATCCATCCTTACAGAATCACACAGAGTATTCTCACTGACCTGACACTCCTGTGTGCCCCACACACCCCTCCTTCTCCCACCCATCCAACCCCGGGGCAACTACTGATCTTCTTAGACCCCATGGTGTAGACTTTTCCAGAATGTCGTACATAGACTATTCAGTCTATAGTAGACTACACAGGAGTCATACAGCACAGAGACCTTTCAAACTGGCTTCTTTCACTTAGTTATGTGTTTAAGTTTCCTCTTTTTTTTTTTTTCATGATTTGATGTATCATTTCTTTTAGCACTGAGCTTTATTCCTTTATCTGGCTATACCACAGTATATTATTTATCCACTCACCTTCTAAAGGATATCTTCCAGTTTTGGCAATTATGAGTAAAATTTCTGTGAACATCTGTGTAACAATTTTTTTGTGTGTACACAAGTCTTGTGGTGCTGGAGAAGCCTCTTGAGAGTCCTGTGGAAAGCCAGGAGATCAAACCAGTCCATCCTAAAGGAAATCAACCCTGAATATTCATTGGAAGGGCTGACTGATGCTGAAACTTAAGCTCCAGGACTTTGGCCACCTGATGCAAAGAGCAGACTCATCACAAAAGACCCTGATGCTGGGAAAGATGGAGGGCAAGAGGAGAAAGGGGCAACAGGATGAGATGGTTGGCTGGCATCACCAACTCAATGGACGTGAATTTGAACAAACTCCAGGAGATAGTGAAGGACAGGGAAGCCTGGCTTGTTGCAATCCATGGGGTTGCAAAGAGTCAGACATGACTTAGCAACTGAACAACAACAGCACAAGTCTTAAAATCCTTTCAGTAAAAACCAAGTAGCACAATTGCTAGATCACAGTGTACAAATGCATTTAGTTTTGTAATAAATAGCCAAACTGTCTTCCAAAGTGGTGGCACTGTTTTGCATTCCCATCAGCAATGAATGGCGTTCCCATTGCCCCACACACTTGCCAGAGTTTGTTGTGGTCAGCGTTTCAGATTTGGGTCATTCCAGTAGGTGTGTAGTGACATCAGCTTGTTTCAGTTTGCATCTCTCTGATGACATATGCTGTGGAACATTTGTTCATATGCATGTTTGCAATCTGTATATCTTTTTTGGTGAGGTGTCTATTAAGGTCTTTGGTCCACTTTTCAGTTGGATTGTTTTTTACTGTTGAGTTTTAAGAGCCTTTGTATATTTTGCATTAGTCCTTTATGAGATGTGCCTTTTGCAAATATTTTCTCCCCATCCACGACTTATCTTCTCTGTTTTTGACATTGTCTTTCACAGAGCAGAAGTTTTAAATTTTAATGAAATCCAACTTATTTATTCTTTCTTTCATGGATAGTTCCTTGGTGTTGAATTTGAAAAGTTGTCACAATACCTAAAGTCATCTAGGCTTTCTCCTGTATTATCTTCTAGGAGTTTTATAGTTTTGCAGTTTACGTTTGGGTCTATGACCCATGTTGTCGTTGTTCAGTGCTCAGTTGGGTCCGACTGTCCATGACCCCATGGTCTGCAGCACGTCTGGCTTCCCTGTCCTTCACTGTCTCCTGGAGTTTGCTCAGACTCATGTCCATTGAGTCAGTGATGATATCTATCTGTCTATGACCCTTAGAAGATCCCAGGTTTAGGTTAACTTCTGGGAAGAGTGTCAAGTCTGTGTCTAGGTGATTATTATTACTTTTTGCATGCTGATGCCTAGTTGTTCCAGCATCGTTTGCTGAAGAAGCTATCTTTGCTCCATTTTATGAGTTCTGCTCCTTCATGGAAGGTCTGTTGATTATATTCAGGTGCTTCTATTTCTGGGCTTTGTATTCTGTTCCATTTATGCAGTTGTATATTCTTTCACCAATACCACACTGTCTTAATTACTATGCTTCATAGAAAGTCTTAATGACCCCTTTTCACACCATTTCCTCCACATGCTTGAACAGAAAGTACTCTGCATGTGTGATAAGCCGCTCAGTCATGTCTGACTCTTTGTGACCCTTTGGATTGTAACTCGCCAGGCTCCTCTGTCCATGGGATTCTCCAGGCAAGAGTACTGGAGTGGGTTGCCATGCCCTCCTCCAGGGGGTCTTCCTG